AGTAGGCAGAGGAGTGGCCTGAGGCGAGGATTACGTGAAGCCGAAGCGCTGAAGGACCTGCTGCACCATGTGTGACTGAGTCAGGGTAATGGTGCGGCGTGCTCTGTCCCGGGTGATCTGCAAGCCAAGGTAGCTGCGCAGTTCACCCAGGTCTGTGCACGTGTGTCTCTTCTGCAGCTCGGACTTCACGTGGGCGAGTCCAGCAGTGTCAGCTGTGGCAAAGACCAAGTCGTCGACGTACACGAGGATGTAGAACGGCGGCAAAGAAGTGTCGGTGCGCAGAAACAGCGACGGGTCGGCAGTAGAGGGAGCAAACCCAAGAGCCGCAAGCGTAGTCCTCAGTGTGTCGTGCCACTCACGCGGTGCCTGGCGGAGACCGTAGACTGGCCGCCGGAGGCTCCGCTGGGTGCCAGGAGGAAAAGTCCCAGTGAAGCCAAGTGGGCGGCGCAGCCAGATCTCCTCGTGCAGGCTGCCCTGCAAGAAAGCAGTGCTGAAGTCAAGAGAGTGTAGCTCGTAGTCACGGTGAGCAGCTATGTGCAGCAGTACCCGAAGAGTGGTCATCTTCGGGGTGGGAGAGAAGGTCTGAAAGTAGTCAACTCCCTGCCGCTGACTGAAGCCACGAGCCACGTAACGCGCCTTGAAGACAGGCGGAGAACCCGGCGGCCGCTTCACCCTGAAAATCCACATGCCACTGATGATGTTCGCCCCAGGCGGGGGAACCTCGTCAACGTAGGTGCCTGTGGACTTCCAGGAAGCCATCTCTGCGTCCATAGCTGCCTGCCACTGAGAGGAGTAGGGACCCTCTATCGCCTCCGCGTAAGAGCGCGGAGTCGGGATGTCAAGTGCATCCGGGTCTCCCTCAGGGGTAAGCAGTACGGACACGAGATGAGGTGAAGCAGCAGCCAAACACTGGAACTCCTCCTGTCTGTCCTCAAGGACGTCCGTGCCAAGGGCACACTCACCCCCGACGGACGGAGGACAGACAGACTCAGACGCAGCAACAAGACTAGCAGCGTAGTCTAGACGACAGCGAGCAGCAAAGTCGACGAGCTCAGCAACTAGGGCAGACGCAACTGTGGACTCAAAGGAAGGGTCAGTGACAACAGTAGTAAGGAGACGCGTGACAGTCGGACTGGCAGCACGAAGGGAGTCCGACTCCGGGTCAGCAAGAGCAGGAAGAGAGGACTCAGGAGGAGAAGGCAAAGGGGCACGCAGAGGAGCAGTGGACGGACAGAGAGACATCCGGTGCGTGCCGAGCACAGGGGGAGGACGCTGACGCGAACCACGACCACTAGCGCGAGCAGCACGGACAGGCGACGCAGGACGAGACGCAGGCTCACGACGCTCAGCAAGACCTCCAGTAGGACCAGTGTAGGGAGAAGGAGCAGGCAGTGGGGAGGCCGGCTGTAACTGTAACTGTGACGGGACAGGCTGTGGACACTCTAAGGGAGGAGGAGGACCAGTAGAAGGCGGGAGACCAAGAACCTGCTCAAGAAGCGGAACGAAGTACGGCCGAGGCCGCGCAACGACTCCAGACACAGCAGGGACAGCACCAGTACCCCCAGTGGTAGCACCAGCGCCAGCAGCACCTCCAGCTCCAGTACCCCCAGCAGCACCAGTACCACCCCACCTCTCGCCGTGTCTTGTCCTCCCAGGACGTCACGTTTGACGAGTCGGTCCCCTACTACCGTCTCTTCCCGACGGGGCCAGCAGAGGCGGCGCCGGGGCCGGGAAGGGCGGCGCCGGGGCCGGGAAGGGCGGCGCCGGGGCCGGGAAGGGTGGCGCCGGGGCCGCAAGGGTAGGCGACGGGGCCGCGAGGGCGGCGTGGAGGGGTCGCGAGGGCGGCTCGAGGAGGCCGCGAGGGCGGCGCGAAAGGGCCGCGAGGGCGGCGCGAAAGGGCCGCGAGGGCGGCGCGACGCGACGGGACCGCGAGGGCGGCGCGACGGGGTCGCAAGGGCGACGCGACGGGGCCGCTAGGGAGGCGCGACGCGACGGGGCCGCTGAGGCGGCGCGACGGGGTCGTAAGGGCGGCGCGACGGGGCCGTGAGAGGGGAGCGCGACTCGGGCAGAGGCTGAGCGCGCTCCGGGCAGGAAAAAAAAGTTGGTGGGCCCTAGGAACAGTTCCCACAGGGGAACCTGCTCTATACCATGTGAAAATGAACGAGGAATGAAAAGACTAAGGGAAAGTTGGGTACAAGTACAAACCCTAGAAAGCTGTACCCCATATGTGCTACCCCACTATAGCCTACAGCAGCTAAGTCATATAAATCTGACAGGGAGAAGGTGTGCGGGGCGGTATTGTGGCCGTTTGAGGACGGTTGAGAGGGTTGGGAAGAAGTTCCCGCGTCGCCATTCCGCAATGTTTGGAGTTGTTGCTCCAGGCTGGTGAGTCGCTGAAGCATCTGTGCGACGGCGGCGGTTCCAATCGTCGTCGTTTCCTCGCTTGTCGCAGCCGGATTGGTCTGCGCTTCAGCCGTCAGATTTGTCTGACCACCAGATCCTCCGGCCATTCTCACACGCGAGTGTGTGCCAGACGCCACTTTCCGCTTGTCGAAGATTTCGGAGGTGGCAGTGCGAAGGATTCCTGAGTCGCTCTCATACCATGCTGCGATCAGAGGTTGATCGCCCCTAGGATCACCTCAGGAAGGTTCGCACTCGTCTGAGTAGTGGTGGTGGGCCCTTGACCTCAATAGCAGAGTGGATGTAAAATGCTTGAGATAAATTAAAACATACAAGTACAAAGGTATAAATAGGAGTACAGGAAGAAATACGAATCGACCTAGCTAGCCATGTACTCGAAGGGGTACATTACCTTATTAGAGCGAAATCCAACCGTGCGACTCCAGACAGTTACGAAACTGTCCGGGCAGAATCCTCGCCACTGCTGCTGCCTGATGTTGTCTGCCCGACGGTCCAGATCCTTTCGTAACTGTATGACCCTTCGTGTCACTCCTGTCCTTTCGCCTTCATCCTTGGTAGTGCGTGCTTCGATTTCTGCGGTAAGGTGTGCACAGTGATGCTTCAATAATTACTATTCGTAACACATCTCATTGCTACTTTATGAACGGGTGAGTCCTCGAACTATATCACTAACTAAGACTTTCAAAATGCATAACCCATACGGACAAGCATGTATGGGAAACGGTGTATTTATATTCGTTTTGCAAGGTATAATGGGAATTGCTGCAGGGTGCTGGGCAAGAACTGGACTGGTCCACTCACATGCACTGCGATGCGCGCGAGCAGCTTTGTGATACATGCGATGAGGTGGGCGGGGCCACTCTCATTGAACGGCACACATTACACAGCGAGATCCTAAAATGCGTTTTACATCGTCCGATCGCGCTCTGATACAGAACAGTCCCAAAGTGACAGGCTGGGATTTCGTCTGGGTTAGGCAACTGGGGTGGCTGGTTCAATCGCATTCGCAAGCGGGCCGCAAATTTCGGTGTGTCTGTCGGTTAGGGCGTGTCTGAAGTGAATTTCGACGTTTGCCGACGAAACTTTCGTCGACGTTCCTTGACGAAACTCGACATCCGTTTTCAGCTGTGTTCACTTCAGACACCCACACGACAAAATAACCGACACGTGCCATAGGAACACTGTTATAAGTTGCCCATGAAAATTCGACGTGGAATTAACAGAATCATTCATGTAACTCAATTGTTTGCAATCTCGCGAATTTCGCTTAGCATAGATTGTTGCTGGTAACACCGGATATTCTACTGTCACATTGCCAGCGAAATTTCTCTAGCACGTGTCGCTCTCGTCTTAGTTCTTATTCACGTGTGTTTGCCACAGCTATGCAGACATGGCGTGTCGAAGAATTGTTTTTGAAACACTCACTGACTACAGTGACTCAAACAGCTGCCCGGTATCACTGTTCGACATCCCTCGACATGTGCACGAACGTCGAGTTTCGTCGAGGGATGTCAGGCTGCACTTCAGACACCAACACGCGTGGGTCCCACGGATGAGTTTCGTCGACGAAATTTGACGAAACTCGACGTTTGCACTTCAGACACGCCCTTAGTTGTCTCGCCTTCCTTCCCACAAACCACACCGCATAACTGGACTCCCCTTCTTCACCGCTTTTAACCGCAACGTGTGTGAAAGGTAACGTGCGGACAATTTCTAGGACCAACAGAAACAGAAGCAGAAACAGAGAAACAAGAACAAGTGCGAGTGACCTGTTTCTTGGAGTTGTTGTAGCTTTTGCAGTGTATTCTGATCAGGGCGGGTTATTGATAGTACGTTTCTTGCACAATACCCTTCCCAACCTTTTTAAACCTAAAATAGACTGCTTTAGATCGTACCGAAGCTCATTGAGCCGCATTTTGATATACTCTTGGGACCCGTAGTCAAGGGCGGATAATGCAATTGAGTATGTACGTAAGCTGTTAGTAAACAACAAATTAGCAACACGCCATGGTCACCTTCCCATTTCCATTTTCATCTACTATACTCATAGTAGCGTGATATAACCGCAGTTCAGGAGTGACAACGTTACTTCGATCAGCGTGACAATGAAATGGCGATTTGTCACTGCTATTACTGCTAGCAAAAGTCGTGGATAGCCGCCTCTCTTGTCTTCCGCCAGAAGATGAATATGAATAGGAGATAGACGGAGCCTACTTAGGAGCCATGACTATGGATACGCCAGTCGATTGCGAAAACATAGCCGTTTATTTGCCTTTCTAGACGACAAAGGGTGCAAGTTCCTGTTGTTGTCTGTATGTTTTCCGCCGTTAGAGCATCGCTTGCTCCATCGCGGGTTGGGAAGCGCGAGGACCGAGAATGCCAACCGCGACGACGTGCAGATTGTGCACGAAATCCTCGTCCCGGTTACCATCGTTTTCGCTTGTCCACGAGAGAATAGGGAGGCCGCGTGGGAAATCCGCGACAATATCGAGACCGGAGCGTTCGGAGATACCGCGATCGCGCACGAAGGTAGTGACAATTTCGAGGCCGAGCAGGAAGACACTGGCAATATCGAGACTATGTGGGAAAGCTATGACAATACCGAGGCCGTGCGGGAAGGCCGCGAGAATCCCGAGACCGCGCAAGAAGGCAGTGATTGTACCGAGGCCGTGCAGGAAGGAAGCGACTATTATGAGGCCGTGCGGGAAGGCCGCGATAATTTCGAGATCGCGCAAGGAGGCAGTGACTACAATGCCGTGCAGGAAGGAAGCGACTATAACGAGGCCGTGCAGGAAGGCAGTGACTATAACGAGGCCCTACAGGAAGGAAGGGACTATATCGAGGACGTGCGAAGGCTCCACGTCATCGCTCTTATTGTCGCTCATTGTGACGGTGCTGGTAGCGCTGGCGAGCGGTGGATTCCACGTGGCAGCTGTGCCTGTCGTCGCCAACGAATGTGAGTGACGTGGCGATATTAGGTGGTGAGGGGCGGTGTGAGCGGTATGAAACTGTGTGGGGTGGTGTGGGGTGTGGTGTAAGGTGGTTTGAGGTGGTCTGACGTGGTCCCTCCCCTTCTTCTCCCAGAGTGTGCATTTCTCGCAGGAAAGGACAAAATGGCCTTCTTGACCCCAATCGCAGCCCCAAGGCGTACTGGACGGCCAACGAGGAGTGATCTGCGCCCCTCGCTCACCGCGGATCTCTTTTCAGCCCCTCCCCCCTCACTTCCCCCCCTTGTCCTCACAGGGTGTGCATCTCTCGCCATAAGGAAGCGCGATGGTCTTTCTGAACCCCAATCGCAGCCCCAAGGCGTACTGGACGGCCAACGAGGAGTGATCTGCGCCCCTCGCTCACCGCGGATCTCTTTTCAGCCCCTCCCCCCTCACTTCCCCCCCTTGTCCTCACAGGGTGTGCATCTCTCGCCATAAGGAAGCGCGATGGTCTTTCTGAACCCCAATCGCAGCCCCAAGGCGTACTGGACGGCCAACGAGGAGTGATCTGTCCGCCGCGCCCACCACCACTCCCTCACTCGCCCCCCACCCCTCTCCCCCCACAGGGTGTCTGTACTGTACCTTTCCTCTCCCAGGGATTGCGCTCCTCGCCATCAGGGACGAGATGAATCTCGTGATTCCTAATCGCAGCCCCAAAGTTATTCAACAGCCAGCGGCGACTGCCCTGCGAGTCTGCGTCCACCGCCTCGCATAATACTGCTCTCCTTCTGCCCCTCCCATTGCGCTCCTCGCCTCGCCCCCCTTGGTCTCCCTTCCGCGCCTCCCCTCGCCTATGTCACTTCCTCCCAGGTAATGCGCTCCTTGCTATGAGGGACGAGATGACTTGAATCCTAATCGCAGCCCCGAGGTGCATTGGTCGGCGGCTCTGCTCTCCCCCCTCACCACCAGTCCCTCACCCGTCCCGCAACCCCAATCTCCCCCCCGCGTCTGTACTGTACCCTTCCTCCCTTCCTCTCTCAGGGAACGCACTCCTTGCCATGAGGGACGAGATGAACTTCGTGGTTCCCAGTCGCAGCCCCAAGGCATACTGGACGGCCAATGACGACGGCTCTGCCCCGTCTGTCCCCAACCACCCGTCCCTCCCCTCTCTCGTCCCTCCCCTCGTCTGTGCCTTTCCCCTCCCAGGGATCACCCTCCTTGCTATCAGGGACAGAATGAACTTCGTGATTCCTAATCACATCCCCAAGGTTTACAGGACGGCCAATGACGACTGCTCTGCGCCCTCCTCCTTGCTGACTACTGGTCTCCTTTCTGTCCCCCCCTCGCCTCTGACTGTCTCCCTACCAGGGAACGCCCTCCTTGCTATCAGGGACGGAATGAACTTCGTGACTCCCAGTCGCAGCCCCAGGCATACTGGACGGCCAATGACGACTGCTCTGTCCCCCCCTCTCTCGCTCACTAGTGGTCTCTCTCCCACTCCTCCCCTCGCCTGTGTTGTGTCTCTCCCTCCCAGGGAACGCACTCCTTGCCATCAGAGACGAGATGAACTTCGTGATTCCCAGTCGCAGCCCCAACGCATAATGGACAGCCAATGACGACTGTTCTGCTCTGCCCCCCTCTCCCTGCTCACCACTGGCCTCTCTTTCCCGCACCTCCCCTCGTCTGTACCCTTTCCTGTCCCAGGGAATGCACTTCTCGCCATCAGGGACGGAATAAATTTTGTGGTTCCCAGTCGCAGCCCCAAAGCGTACTGGACGGCCAATGACGACTGCTCGTTCCTGTCCGCCTCGCTCACCCACTGCTGGTCTCCCTTCCACCTCTCCCCTTGCCGGTGTCTCTCCCTCCCTCCCTCCCTCCCTCCCTCCATCCCTCCCTCCCTCCCTCCCTCCCTCCCTCCATCCCTCCCAGGGAACGCGCTCCTTGCCATCAGGGACGGAATGAACTTCGTGGTTCCCAGTCGCAGCCCCAAGGCATACTGGACGGCCAATGACGACTGCTCATACCTGTTTGGGGTGAACTGCAACGACCAAGGCAACGTGATTGTCATGTGAGTGAGTGAGTAAGTGAGTGAGTGAGTGAGTGAGTGGTGCTCTTACTTTGTCTACCCCAGTCGCAGTCCCAAGGCATACTGGACGGCCAATGATGACTGCTCGTACCTGTTTGGGGTGAACTGCAACGACCAGGGCAACGTGATTGTCATGTGCGTGAGTGAGTGGTGCTTGGGGCGGGATGCATACATGGTTACCAGCGTGAGTGAGTGAGAGCCTGTTTGGGGTGAACTGCAACGACCAGGGCAACGTGATTGTCATGTGAGTGAGTGAGTGGGTGAGTGCGAGTGAGTGAGTGAGTGAGTGAGTGGTGCTCTTACTTTACCCATCCCAGTCGCAGCCCCAAGGCATACTGGACGGCCAATGATGACTGCTCGTACCTGTTTGGGGTGAACTGCAACGACCAGGGCAACGTGATTGTCATGTGCGTGAGTGAGTGGTGCTTGGGCCGGGATGCATACATGGTTACCAGCGTGAGTGAGTGAGAGCCTTTTTGGGGTGAACTGCAACGACCAGGGCAACGTGATTGTCATGTGAGTGAGTGAGTGGGTGAGTGCGAGTGAGTGAGTGAGTGAGTGAGTGGTGCTCTTACTTTACCCATCCCAGTCGCAGCCCCAAGGCATACTGGACGGCCAATGATGACTGCTCGTACCTGTTTGGGGTGAACTGCAACGACCAGGGCAACGTGATTGTCATGTGCGTGAGTGAGTGGTGCTTGGGCCGGGATGCATACATGGTTACCAGCGTGAGTGAGTGAGAGCCTTTTTGGGGTGAACTGCAACGACCAGGGCAACGTGATTGTCATGTGAGTGAGTGAGTGGGTGAGTGCGAGTGAGTGAGTGAGTGAGTGAGTGGTTCTCTTACTTTACCCATCCCAGTCGCAGCCCCAAGGCATACTGGACGGCCAATGATGACTGCTCGTACCTGTTTGGGGTGAACTGCAACGACCAGGGCAACGTGATTGTCATGTGAGTGTGGCAAGCCAAACGACTGCACTAGGACAGGACCTCTCCTTGCTGCCATCGGCAACCGTTATTGAGTCGACTCAAAAGCTGATTGTCATGTGAGTGTGGCAAGCAAGCCAAACGACAGCATCGGCAGGGCAGTGAGAGGCCCTACTTGACAATGCACTAGGATCTCTCCTTGCTACCATCGGCATTTGAGGCGCCTCAAATCACGTGATTGTCATGTTAGTTTGGCAAGGCAAACGTCTGCACTAGGACAGGACCTCTCGAGACGTCTCAAAAGGCAACGTGACTGTCATGTGAGTGTGGCAAGGCAGACGACTGCCCTAGGACCTCTCCTTGCTACCATCGGCACCTTCACTCGTTCAACACACCTCTCCTCTCCCTTCCTTTCAATCCTTTCCTGCACCTACACGCCCCATCCTCCTCTCTTTGCCACCAGGTACCTGCACAATGCGCTGGGGCCTCTCCCTGCTGCCATTGGCAACCTCACTTATAACATCTCTCTCCATCCCTTTCAACCCCTTCCTTCTCCCCCACCGGCTCACCAGGTACCTCTTCAATGCGCTGGGGCCTCTCCCTGCTGCCATTGGCAACCTCACTTGTATCTTGGTCCCTCTCTGTGTGCCTCTGTGTGTGACCCCTTCTTCCTTCTCTCCCCCCATCCCCTCATCACCAGGTACCTCTACAATGCACTGGGGCCTCTCCCTGCTGCCATTGGCAACCTCACTTGTATCTTGGTCCCTCTCTGTGTGCCTCTGTGTGTGACCCCTTCTTCCTTCTCTCCCCCCATCCCCTCATCACCAGGTACCTCTACAATGCACTGGGGCCTCTCCCTGCTGCCATTGGCAACCTCACTTGTATCTTGGTCCCTCTCTGTGTGCCTCTGTGTATGACCCCTTCTTCCTTCTCTCCCCCCATCCCCTCATCACCAGGTACCTCTTCAATGCGCTGGGGCCTCTCCCTGCTGCCATTGGCAACCTCACTTGTATCTTGGTCCCTCTCTGTGTGCCTCTGTGTGTGACCCCTTCTTCCTTCTCTCCCCCCATCCCCTCATCACCAGGTACCTCTACAATGCACTGGGGCCTCTCCCTGCTGCCATTGGCAACCTCACTTGTATCTTGGTCCCTCTCTGTGTGCCTCTGTGTGTGACCCCTTCTTCCTTCTCTCCCCCCATCCCCTCATCACCAGGTACCTCTACAATGCACTGGGGCCTCTCCCTGCTGCCATTGGCAACCTCACTTGTATCTTGGTCCCTCTCTGTGTGCCTCTGTGTGTGACCCCTTCTTCCTTCTCTCCCCCCATCCCCTCATCACCAGGTACCTCTACAATGCACTGGGGCCTCTCCCTGCTGCTATGGCTCACATCTCACTCATGATCTGTGTGTGTGTCCCCCCCCTTCCTCTCCCTCACCCCCCATCCTCCCCTCCTTGTCACCAGGTACCTGTTCAATGCACTGGGGCCTCTTCCTGCTGCAACTGCATGCACCTACCTTGTAGCATCGCTCTCCACCCCTTTCAACCCCTTCCTTCTCCCCACCCATCCCCTTATCACCAGGTACCTCTTCAATGCACTGGGGCCTCTCCCTGCTGCCATCGGCAACCTCACCTTCCTATCGGCCATGTGAGACTAGAGTGCAGTGCGGTGCAGTGCAGTGCAATGCACTCTTATCTCGTCTGGAAAAAGGTTCATTTCGAGTCACCTCAGAATACACCTGCTGCCATCGGCAACCTCACCTTCCCATCGGCCATGTGAGACTAGAGAGCTTCATTCATCCTATCCTATCTTCTGCAAAAAACCATGCACTGGGATGGGAGACCAGACCAGAGCACATGGTTCTTCTCTTATTTTCGACTCATTTGCTTTCAGATCTCCATTCTCCGCACCCCGATCCCCTAATCCCCATTCCCGCCTACAAATTGGTGCCTTACACTTCTCAAGTATCAGCTAGTCGCCTCCCTCCTGCACACTCTACACACATACACACCCCACTTCGCAGCACGAGCAAGGAACCAAGGTGACCTGTTGAGTCGACTCTCAACTAGTGCCCCTCCTCGTGCACACACACAACCACTTTGCTGGGCCGCTAGACTAGTCGCTAGTCGCCTCCCTTTCCTTCCCCATGCAGAAATTCCCACTTTCCAACGCCAGCACTAGCATTGTCACATTTTCACCTGTCGTCCCTATCCCTCCCGCACCCATCACTCACACCCCGCTCCTCCCTCCACCCCCTTCCCCCCCCCCCCCTTCCTCCTCACCCCCCCGACCACTCTGCACTGCAGTATTATCACTGGAAATTCATCAACTTTTGAAGTGCCTCAAAAGTCCCCGCCATCATTTCCCGCTACCCCTTCCCTCCTTCCTCTCCCCCCCCATCATCCCACACCCCGCTATCCACCCTTCCCCAACCCCACCCCCCCTCTCCCCCTCTCCTCTCCCCCGACCACTTAACAACGCAGCACCACCACTAGCAATCTCACCACGCTACCAAAGGATTTCTCAAAGCTCACGAGCTATCCTCCCACTTCCCCTCCCCTCTCCCCATCCCCTCCCGCTCTCCCCCTTCCTGCTCCCACCTCTGCAGCACCACCACTGGCAATCTCACCACTCTACCAACGGAGTTTTCAAAGCTCACGAAAATGACTTTCCTGTAAGCCTTTCACGTAGAGGAAACACGTTCGCACAAGCCTAAGGCAGGCTGTCTGTGTATGTATCATATCAGCTCCAGAGGTCATACTACTAAATGAGGCATGACTGTGGTGAGCATTCTACCTGACAGCTTCTTGGTTGCATTGCAATGCAACCAGGTCGACTCATTAGAGAGTTGAGAAGCTTGTTGAGGTTCTGCTTCTTGTTTGATTTGAGAACCTCCTCCTCTGTCCCTCCCCGTTGCTTCCTCTGTCTGTCCCACTCTATTGTTCCCTGGCCCATGAGCAGAAGCGGTATAACAGGGCCCTTCCCTACGATGATCACCGCTCTTGGACATTCCCCTGTATTGTATCCCTGTATTTCTGCTCAGTCTCCTATTTCCCTGATCTTCTGTCCATTCCACCCTCGTGCTTCTCAGATCCATGAGCAGGAGCGGCATTGCAGGGCCCTTCCCTACAATGATCACTGCTCTTCACCATTCCCCTGTACCCCTGTTCTTCTGGTTATCAAACCTCCCACCCCAACCCTGCGGCTGTTCTCTCTGTCTCTCCCTCTTGCTTCGCATTTCAGGTCCATGAGCAGAAGCGGTATTTCCGGGCCCTTCCCCACAATGATCACTGCCCTTCAACATTCCCCTGTACCCCTGTTCCCTCCGTCCCCCCCAACCAACCCCCCTCGTGCTTCTCAGGTCCATGAGCAGAAGCGGTATTTCCGGGCCCTTCCCCACTATGATCACTGCTCTTCAACATTCCCCTGTATCCCTATATTTCTGTTCAATCTCCAATTTCCCTGTACTTCTGTCCATCCCCCAACCCCCCTCGTGCTTCTCAGGTCCATGAGCAGAAGCGGTATCACAGGGCCCTTCCCCACCATGATCACTGCCCTTCCAAAGCTCAAAGACGTGTGCGCACGGGTGACGTGGCATTTGATGTGTGACGTGGGTGGCATTGGATGTGTGACATGGCAGTAGATGTGAAATACATGCATGCCTGTTGAAACAAATTTCTCTCTACTTCCCTGCACCACGATCTCGCATCATGCTGATACCCTTCTAAAGCCTTCCTGCTCCTTTTGAGGTGTATTTCGAGGCGCCTCAAAATACACCACGATCTCGCATCATGTTGATTCCCTTCTAAAGCCTTCCTGCTCCTTTTCTCCTTTCCTTGTATTCGTTTTCGTATTTGTTTTTTCGAATCGCTTGCAGAAAGATGATCAACAACTCAATGTCGGGGCCGATTCCAGTGGCGTTTTCTGCACTAACCAACCTAATTGTCCTGTGCGTATGCATACAATTTCATAATGAACCATGGAGTTCGTTTCGTTGTCGTAGACACACCTAACCTACTAAGTTGCTGGATTGGAACTAAGGCCTCTGCAGCCCACCTGTGTACCCTACAAGTAGGCTTGAGCAAAAGGCGAACAAGAACGTGTTCGCATTTGCCCCTGCACGAACACCGCCGTTCGGCGAACCGAACAGTGTTCGGTTTGCCGAACAGCTTTAGCAAAAAACGGTGTTCGTCGTTCGCCTGTGAAGGCGAACACCTTGCTGACTCAGGCGAACACGAACGTGTTCGTGGCAAACACATGCGTGTTCGTCTCCTTGCCCTAACCTAAACACTCACACCTTCCCTTCCACACTTCGCTCTTCAATTCCCACCTTTTCATCCTCCCATTCGCCCCTCCTCCTCTCTGCGTCCACTCTGCTGCATGCCAATAGATCTCAAAGCCCAAATTTTGAGGCTCCTCAAAACTAGATTCTTCAATTCCCACCTTTTCATCCTCCCACCCATTCACCCCTCCTCCTCCGCCTCAAACTGGGTATCTTTTGAGGCGCCTCAAAAGTCCCGTTGGCATCTCTGGAATACCTCTTCACAAATCCCACGGGTCACTGCGCATCTTCTGAGGCGCCTCAAACTGGGTATCTTTTGAGGCGCCTCAAAAGTCCCGTTGGCATCTCCGGAATACCTCTTGACAAATTTCATGGGTCACTGGTCATCGTGAACAAGATTGAACGCTTCACTAACGATTGACTAATTCGCGAAAGTACAAGCTCGGAAAACTCTCAAAGACGATAAATGAACACCAGTTGACAAATTTTCAAGCTCCTTCTTTCCTTCCGTTCACCACCCTCTCCCCTCTCCCCGTTCAGCCGACTCGACGTCAATAAGCTCACGGGTTCAATTCCCGCTGGCCTCTCAAGACTCGTAGCACTAACCCAGCTGTAAGCCCCACACACCAGGCTGCCTGGTTTCAATGCTTGCCCTTCGCTTTCACTTCTGCCCATGGCTCTTGCTTTTGCCCTTACCATTGGCTTCATTTTGCCTTTGGCTTCATTGTTCCCTTCGTTAAATTTTGCCCTTGGCTTAATTTTGCCGTTGGCACGTTTGGGATTTTTCGCTTACGTGCAGCTGTGCTGAGAACAGTAATTTGAATCTTTCATCTATATTATATATGCATGCATGTGCCACTCTGTTATTAGAGAAAGAAAAGCTCCCAATCACCCGATACCCCCCTCCTTCCCCTCAGCTTTACTCATCCTCCTTCCTGCTCTACTGCCTCTCTGTAACACCCTCAACAAGCTTCCCTTCCCTCTCCCCCTCCTTTCCTTTAGGCCTCCATCGTTGATTCCCCCTTATGCCCTCCCTTCATTGAACCTTTTGATCACCCGCCTGTCAGTTTCTTGCACCACTTTGCACAACCTTGCACCACGCCACTTTGCACCCCCCTGCACCACTGCAGTAACCTGAAAGACAATCTGCTCACAGGAGTGATTCCCCCGTCTCTCTCTGCGCTCAAGGCCATGCAAACGCTGTAAGCTTCAGGGACACCGTTTCTCCACGGGTCACCATTTTTCCATGGGTCACCATGTTTCCATGGGTCACCATTTTTCCACCCATCCACCCATCCACCCATCCACCCATCCACCTATTTATTCATTCACTCATCCACCACTCTTCCACCTCACCTACTCAAGCCAGGGACCTTCGGAACAACAAGCGCACACATGCCAGCTCATCTCGTCCTTCGACTCTTTCCCCCACCCGTCCACCCTCTATCCACCCACCTTCCACTCTTTCCCCCACCCGTCCACCCTCTATCCACCCACCTTCCACTCTTTCCCCCACCCGTCCACCCTCTATCCACCCACCTTCCACTCTTTCCCCCACCCGTCCACCCTCCATCCACCCTCCTTCCACTCTTTCCCCCACCCGTCCACCCTCTATCCACCCACCTTCCACTCTTTCCCCCACCCGTCCACCCTCTATCCACCCACCTTCCACTCTTTCCCCCACCCGTCCACCCTCCATCCACCCACCTTCCACTCTTTCCCCCACCCGTCCACCCTCCATCCACCCACCTTCCACTCTTTCCCCCACCCGTCCACCCTCCATCCACCCACCGCCTCACCTCCTCAAATCAGGGACTTCCGGAACAACAAGCTCAGCGGCACGATCCCTTCTCAGCTGAGCGTGGTGACTTTCTAGTCAACTCAAAAGCCATCCACCCACCCATCCACCCACCCATCCACCCACCCACCCCCTCGCCTCACCTCCTCAATCCAGGGACTTCCGGAACAACAAGCTCAGCGGCACTATTCTCAGCTGAGCGTGGTGACTGTCTAGTCAACTCAAAAGCCATCCACTCATCCGCCCTCCCACCCACCCGCTCTCCCACCCGTCCACCCACCGTCTCACCTCCTCAAACCAGGGACTTCTGGAACAACAAGCTCAGCGGCACTATTCTCAGCTGAGCGTGGTGACTGTCTAGTCAACTCAAAAGCCATCCACTCATCCACCCTCCCACCCACCCGCTCTCCCACCCGTCCACCCACCGTCTCACCTCCTCAAACCAGGGACTTCCGGAACAACAAGCTCACATATGCCCTCCCATCCACTCATCCGCCCTCCCACCCACCCACCCGTCCACCCTGCATCCACCCAACCGTTCTCCTCACCTCCTTAAACCAGGGACTTCCGGAACAACAAGCTCACCGGCACGATCCCCTCTCAGCTGAGCGCTCTCACCAACCTGGACGGGCTGTGAGTCATTCCTATCTTACATCCACTCCTACATTCAGTTCACTCACTTGTATTTGTAGAGGCATCATCCCCCCTCTCAGCTGAGCGCTCTCACCAACCTGGACGGGCTGTGAGTCATTCCTATCTTACATCCACTCCTACATTCAGTTCACTCACTTGTATTTGTAGAGGCACCATCCCCCCTCTCAGCTGAGCGCTCTCACCAACCTGGACGGACTGTGAGTCATTCCTATCTTACATCCACTCCTACATTCAGTTCACTCACTTGTATTTGTAGAGGCACCATCCCCCCTCTCAGCTGAGCGCTCTCACCAACCTGGACGGACTGTGAGTCATTCCTATCTTACATCCACTCCTACATTCAGTTCACTCACTTGTATTTGTAGAGGCACCATCCTCCCTCTCAGCTGAGCGCTCTCACCAACCTGGACGGGCTGTGAGTCATTCCTATCTTACATCCACTCCTACATTCAGTTCACTCACTTGTATTTGTAGAGGCACCATCCCCCCTCTCAGCTGAGCGCTCTCACCAACCTGGACGGACTGTGAGTCAATCTGCGACTTTTTAAATCCCTTGAATATCCGAGCCACTCTGATTTCTGAAGTCTCAAAAGCGAATTGAATAGGCACGATCCCAACTGAGCTAAGCGTTCTCACCAACCTAAGTCACTCCAAATTTTCAACTTACTTGTATATCTGAGTCACTTCTATTGGAAGTCAGGTTTAGATTAGAGTCCCATACCATACAACCACCCACCCCCCCAACCCACCTCACCCTACCCACCCATCCCACCCATCCCACCCCATCCCAACCCACCCCACCCTAAGCAACAACACACTCACAGGAGCCATCGGTACGCAGCTCCATTTGCACCCACTGATACCGCACTCCACCCCATCCCACCCCACTCCACCCCATCCCACCCCACGCCACCCTCCCGCCAGCTATCTAAGCAACAACACGCTCACAGGGGCCATCCCATCGCAACTCAAGACCCTCACCAACCTCCGCTTCCTGTCAGTGCTGTCACTATAGGATTCACTTTTGGGAGTTGTTAAAGGTTCTCCCACCGTTCTAAGCTCTCCCCACCTTCGCGAGTGCTTCGTTTGTTCGCAGCTCAGCACCCTCACCAACCTCCGCTTCCTGTCAGTGCACGAAGCAACTTTCCTTAGGAATCACTTTTGAGAATTCTCAAAAGTGATTTCTTCGTTCGTTCACAGCTCAGCACCCTCACCAACCTCCGCTTCCTGTCAGTGCATGGAACAACCTCCCTAAGCTATTTATCAGTAAAACTGGATTCGCTCCCGAAGATTGTATTCTCTCTCTCTCTGTCCTCTGTCTGTCAACCTAGTCAGCAGAGTGGATACTTGCTACTCAGTTCCTGCTCTCTCTTACGTGCTGTTCTGTTTCGTACCTTCTCTTCTCTTCTCCTCTGCACCTTCCCTTGCTTCCCTGCAGCTTCATCGACAGAAATGCCCTCACAGGATCTGTGCCGGCTTCAGTCTCCTCCTTCGCCTCGCTCATTTACCTGTGAGTCTGGTGGGTTCTTGTTTCAAGGCCCTAAGCCCTAAAAGCTTAAACCCTTACAGGATCTGTGCCGGCTTCAGTCTCCTCCTTTGCTTCTCTCACATACATGTGAGTCTCGTGACTCCTTGTTTCAAGGCTTCTTGCCTACAGGCCTCGCCTCGCCTTTCACCCCAACCTTCCCATGTCCCCTTCCGCCTCCCTCCCCCTTCCCCCCCCCCCCCCCCCCCCCCCCCCCTCCCCCCCTCCTCCTCCTCCTTCCCCAAGAGTGCGACCACAACAAGCTCCTTGCCTGCAGGCCTCGCCTTTCTCGCACAGAAATATACTTTCCCACGCTCTCCAGCCCTCCATTTCTGCTTCCATCCAACACGACCCCCGCCCTCCCTCTTTTTCTCCCAAGAACGCATCCCAGGGCTCGCCTCTCAACCACCCTCCCCAACCCAACTTCCCCACTTCATTCACACCCCCTTCCCCTTTCCCGTCCCCACTCGCTCCCTCCCCCCTTCCCCCTAACAATCCTCTATTCGCCCACTTACTCATGTTTGCAACAACACCACCCCCTCATCCCCACCCCCCATGCCCCCTGTTTCCCCTCCCAGGAGTGCTTCTTACAACAAGCTCTCAGGTTCCCTTCCTGCCGGCCTCAGCTCGCTTGCTGCACTCCAGTACCTGTCAGTTACCACCTCCCCGTCAGCCGGTTACCACCCCCCCGTCAGTCGGTTACCACCTCCTCCTGTCAGTTACCCCCTCCCCCTGTCAGTTACCCCCTCACCCTGTCAGTTACCCCCTCCCCCTGTCAGTTACCCCCTCCCCCTGTCAGTTACCCCCTCACCCTGTCAGTTACCACCTCCCCCTGTCAGTTACCACCTCCCCCTGTCAGTTACCCCCTCCCCCTGTCAGTTACCACCTCCCCCTGTCAGTTACCACCTCCCCCTGCCAGTTACCACCTCCCCCTGTCAGTTACCACCTCCCCCTGTCAGTTACCACCTCCCCCTGTCAGTTACCACCTCCCCCTGTCAGTTACCACCTCCCCCTGTCAGTTACCACCTCCCCCTGTCAGTTACCACCTCCCCCTGTCAGTTATCCCCTCCCCCTGTCAGTTACCACCTCCCCCTGTCAGTTACCACCTCCCCCTGCCAGTTACCACCTCCCCCTGTCAGTTACCACCTCCCCCTGTCAGTTACCACCTCCCCCTGTCAGTTACCACCTCCCCCTATCAGTTACCACCTCCCCCTGTCAGTTACCACCTCCCCCTGTCAGTTACCACCTCCCCCTGTCAGTTACCACCTCCCCCTGTCAGTTACCACCTCCCCCTGTCAGTTACCACCTCCCCCTGTCAGTTACCACCTCCCCTGTCAGTTACCACCTCCCCCTGTCAGTTACCACCTCCCCCTGTCAGTTACCACCTCCCCCTATCAGTTACCACCTCCCCCTGTCAGTTACCACCTCCCCCTGTCAGTTACCACCTCCCCCTGTCAGTTACCACCTCCCCCTGTCAGTTACCACCTCCCCTGTCAGTTACCACCTCCCCCTGTCAGTTACCACCTCCCCCTGTCAGTTACCCCCTCCCCCTGTCAGTTACTCCACTAACAGCCTGACAGCCTGACAGCCTAACAGCCTGACAGAGTTTAGGGGGAATCACTTGCTCCCACAGATCGTCCTTCTCTCCTCTGCTCTCCTCTGCTCTCCTCTGCTCTCCTGCAAAGGCCTGGCAAACAACACCTTGACTTGCGCCTTCTCCCCGTCCTTCTCTCCCTTGCTCTCTCCCTTGCTCTCCTGCAGAGGCCTGGCAAACAACACACTCACTGGATCGATACCCTCTGCCCTCTCCTCCTTGGGCTCTCTAGCCATTATGTAAGCATCTTTGTTGACTCGCGTTGACTCGCGTTGACTCGCGTTGACTCCGCAGCCTCCGCAGCCCACCTGTCCACTTTGACGTCCTGAAGTTACCGCGGCAACCACTGGAAATTGATTATTGACCCTTGGACTGGACCTTAGTTGCGAAAGACGCAAGACGCAGTCACTGGACTGGACCTTAGTTGCGAAAGACGCAAGACGCAGTCACTGGACTGGACAGCCACTGGCAAACACCGAGCTCGCTGGCTCGCTACCCTCTGCCCTCTCATCCCTCGGCTCTCCCTCCCCTCCCTCAACCAGTGAATCCATTCACTTTGAAGACTCCTTGACTCATTCCTGACCCCTCCTGTTGACTCCCCTTGACCCCTACTAAGTGAGGCTCTCCTTCCCCTCTCTGCGTGCGTGCAGGTTCCTCCATCACAACTCACTCACGGGCTCGCTGCCTCTCCAGCTCTCTGAGCTCACCTCCCTCTTCTCCCTGTAACCGCCCTTAACCGTTCTCTCTTAACCACTCATCTTATATTTTTCTTAAGCTAATCGGCTCGCTGCCACTGCAGTTCTTTAAGCTTACACCCCTCCCTTCTATCCTTTTTCTTGATTTTGTTCTTACTACTTTCTAACACAAATAGTCTCTCTGAGCGCACTTCTCTTCTCCCTCCCCTACGCTTGAGTTGAAGATAATTACCACTTTTAAGTTCTATTGCTTGCTCCCTGCCTAGTCCCGTCCGTCACTGTCTTGTTTTACTTCCATAATTGAGCCTCCCTTCTCTCATCACGCTCTCTCCTCTCTCCTCTCTCTCCTCACCACTCTCTCTCCCCACCTTCTCTCTCCCCTATCAGAGACCTTTCATACAACAAGCTCAACGGCACTCTGCCTCCCATCGTCACCAGCAGCCTGCACTTCTGAAACTCTTTGCTCTCTGTATCATGCCTCTCCCCACCCTCTCCCCTCTCCTCCCTCTCCCCATCGCAGGGACCTTTCATACAACAAGCTCAACGGCACTCTGCCTCCCATCTTCACAAGCAGCATGCAATTTCTAGGCTTCTTGTACGTTCACGCCTTCCTCCTTTTGAGTCACTCAACACGAGCCTTTCACTAAACAGGCAGTTAAGAGAAATAGAAAGAAAGGGGAAGCCACAAGCAGCATCAGCACGCGCTTTCTCGTTTTTTGTTATGTTTTGTTTTGCTTTTCTGCGAGCCTGCCTGCCTTGATTTGCCTTGCCGTTGTTATGAACCTCACTGTCATGGGCGTGCGCATGGGCATGTGCACGGGCACGTGCATGGGCATGTGCACGGGCATGGGCATGGGCACGTGCATGGGCATGGGCATGGGCACGTGCATGGGCATGTGCATGGGCATGTGCACGGGCATGGGCATGGGCATGGGCATGGGCATGTGCATGGGCATGTGCATGGGCATGTGCACGGGCATGGGCACGGGCACGGGCACGGGCATGGCCGCATTGGTACGGGCATGGGCAGGTTAGACCTGCGGTTCAAAAATTCCCTTATTAGAACAGCACACGACACATGCCACATTTAGCTCCCCCTTCCCCACATATCTCCCCCCTCCCCATTTCCCAGGCATCTGTCTCACAATTTCTTCACAGGCCCGCTGCCTTCCAATCTGGCCACCTGCCAGTCGCTATACGAGCTGTAAGTGTGTGAACTGAGACGAATCTAGAGGCGTCTGAAAAGCCATCTCCCCTTTCCCAGGCATCTATCCCACAATTTCTTCACAGGCCCGCTGCCTTCCAATCTGGCCATCTGCCAGTCGCTCTACGAGCTGTAAGTTATTAACCGACTCAAAAGTTTGTAACCCTGGTGACTTTTGAGTTGAATTAAGAGCCTCCTGCCTGCCTGTCGCTTCATGAACTCAGAAGCTCTTTCTCACGAGGTCGGTCGTACCCAGTGAGACGATTAGTTTTGAGACGTCTCAAAACGAGTTGACTCAAGAAGCTTCCTGCCTGCCAGCCAGTCGCTTCATGAACTCGAGAACTCTTAATTGACTCACAAGGTTGTGAACCAGCGAGTCGATTTTACGAACTGTAAGCTCCTAATCCAATCCACTCACAAAACCCGCCAGTCTCTATACGAGTTGTAAACTCTTAAGACTTAACTGACTCCAGTCTCCAACCTGTTCCCTAATGTGAACAGGAAAGAGCTCCTGAGGTAAGTGACTCATCTGAATGCTTTTGTTTCATCTATCAACCAAGGAGCCTTCTGAGTTCCCCCCGCCACACCACCCCACTTCTCCCTTCCCAATTCCCCACCCACTTCTACCTTTCCCCTTTCTTTTCCCTCCTCCCGCCTCTCCCCCATTTTCCGCCCACGCACATGACCAGTGACGTCAGCAACAACTATCTGAGTGGCATCGTGGCTCCTGTCATCAGCTCGCTGACGTCACTGCAGACACTGTGAGTGCCGTGTGCTGCATGTGTGCTGCATGTGTGCTGCATGTGTGTGCAAATGGTGCATGTGTGTGCGTACCTCATCCTGTACTGCTGTCTGTACTGCTGTCTGTACTGCTATCTGAGTGGCATTGTGCCTCCTATCATCCTCTCCCATCAACAGACACTGTAAGCACACTGTGCTGCACACTGTGCTGCATCCTGTGCTGCACACTGTGCTGCACACTGTGCTGCATCCTGTGCTGCATCCTGTGCTGCTGATGCAAGCATTGACAAGCCCCTTTTCTCCTTTCTTGCTCCCCCCACCCCCCCACCCCACTCACTCCACCTCACCCCACCCCACCCCACCGCATCCCACCGGGTTTAGTGATCTCTCCTCACCGGGCCAGTCCCCCACATGAGCTCAGCCGCTCTCGTCCAGCTCTACAGCATCCACAGCAACTATACCTTCCTTCTTTCCCTTTACTACTCACCCCATACCTCCCTTCACCCCTTCCCACCGCAGTGATCTCTCTGCCAACTATTTCACCGGCCCAGTTCCTTCCATGAGCTCAGCCCCTCTCATCCAACTCTACAGCAGCTATGCCTTCAATTCCGCCCTCTTACCCGTCCTTCATTCCACCCCACCCACCCCACCCCACCCCTTCCCACCGCAGAGATCTCTCCGCCAACTATTTCACCGGGCCAGTCCCCCCCATGACCTCAGCCCCTCTTGTGCAATGCACCTTTATAACCCCACAACATCCCACCCCACCCCTTCCCACCGCAGTGATCTCTCCTCCAACTATTTCACCAGACCGGTCCCCCCCATGAGCTCAGCTCCTCTCATCCAACTCTACAGCATCCACACCAACTATTGCTTCAATGCCTCCCTCTTACTCCCAACCCCACCTCACTTCGTTCCACCTCACACCACCCCACCGCACTCCATCCCACCCACTCCCACCGCAGAGATCTCTCCGTTAACTACTTCACTGGCCCAGTCCCCCCAATGAGCTCAGCACCTCTCATCCTACACTACAGCATCCACACCAACTATTTCTTCGGCTCGGGCAACATAGTCGACCTCGCCGGAAATTCCATCTGCCCGAACGCCACCTCCTCCGTCCAAACCTCCAACAACTGCCTCCAATACGCGTCTGACACCTGTACTAGCACCACCAGCACAGGCGGTAACCCTGTTACTGTAACCGAGGCACAACGGACCGTAACAGACTGCACAGGGTTCTGCTCGACGAGTTTCGGGCTGGTTACCACTCCCGGGAGTAACGCGCAGTGCACGTATGGGATCGGGGTGTGTGTGGTTAGCGCGGTTGCGATTACCACGGGTGCGGTTACCATACAGTGTAACTGCACGTGGCAGGGGTCGACTCTTGCGGCTAACAAGACTGCCTGCCTGCCTCCTTGTAAGCCTCACTCCCTCTCTCCACCTCTTTCACCACCCTCCACCTCTCTCCACGACTCTCCACTTCTCTTCACCACCCTCCACCTCTCTCCACCACTCTCTACCAAACACTTATCTTCTTGAGACGTCTCAAAAAGGGTCGAACCTTGCAGCTAAAGAGACTGCCTGCATGCCTCCTCGCAAGCCTCACTCGCTCCACCTCTCTCCACCTCTCTACCTCCCTCTCCCTTCTTTGCCTCCCTCCTCCCGTCCCTCCATTCATCCTCACGTCCTCTCTCCATTCATTCTTCCGTCCTCCCTCCATTCTCCCTTACTTCCTCCAATCTTCCTCTTTTCCTCCCTCCATTCTTCCTCTCTTCCGCGCTCCACTCTCCCTCTCTTCCTCCCTCCATTCTCCCTTTCTTCCCCCCTCCATTCTCCCTATCTTCCTCCCTCCATTCTCCCTTCTTCATCCCTCCATTCTTCCTCTCTTCCTCCCTTCATTATTCCTCTCTTCCTTCCCCCATCCTTCTTCTCCTCCTCCCTCCATTCTTCCAATCTTCCTCCCTCCTTTCTCGTCTCTTCTCCCCTCATAACTATCATAATCACACTCAATCGCACTCACATTCCTGTTTCTATCCTTCCCGTCTGTGCCTCTCCCGTTTTCCCCTTGCCCTTTTTCCCCTTGCCCCTTTTTCCCCTTGCCCCTTTCTCCTTCTCTCCTGCAGCACCCCCCCCCTCTCCACCACATCCTCCTCCACTCCCCCCCCAACCATCACCCCCACCCCCGCCTCCCTTCCCCCCACCGTCACCCCCATCCCCCTCCCCCCCGCCAACTCCCCCACCTTCCCCCCCAAATCCTCCCCCATCTCCCCCTTCTCCCCCACCCAACCCTCCCCCATCTCCCCCTTCTCCCCCACCCAAATCTCCGCCTTCTCCCCCATCCCCTCCCCCCAACCCTCCACCATCTCCCCCTTCTCCCCCACCTAAACCTCCCCCTTCCCCCCCATCCCCTCCTCCTAACCCTCCCCCATCTCCCCCTTCTCCCCCACCCAAGCCTCCCCCATCTCCCCCTTCTCCCCCACCCAAACCTCCCCCTTCTCCCCCGTCCCCTCCCCCGAACCCTCCCCCATCTCCCCCTTCTCCCCCACCCAAACCTCCTCCTTCTCCCCCATTCCCTCCTCCTAATCCTCCCCCATCTCCCCCTTCCCCCCCGCCCAAGCCTCCCCCATCTCCCCCTTCTCCCCCACCCAAACCTCCCCCTTCTCCCCCATCCCCTCCCCCCAACCCTCCCCCATCTCCCCCTTCTCCCCCACCTAAACCTCCCCCTTCTCCCCCATACCCTCCTCCAAACCCTCCCCCATCTCCCCCTTCTCCTCCGCCCAAGCCTCCCCCATCTCCCCCTTCTCCCCCACCCAAACCTCCCCCTTCTCCCCCATCCCCTCCCCCCAACCCTCCCCCATCTCCCCCCTCCCCTCCTCCTAAACCTCCCCCTTCTCCCCCATACCCTCCTCCTAACCCTCCCCCATCTCCCCCTTCTCCCCCACCCAAGCCTCCCCCATCCCCCCCTTCTCCCCCACCCAAACCTCCCCCTTCTCCCCCATCCCCTCCCCCCAAGCCTCCCCCATCTCCCCCCTCCCCCCCACCCAAACCTCCCCCTTCTCCCCCATCCCCTCCCCCTAACCCTCCCCCATCTCCCCCTTCTCCCCCGCCCAAGCCTCCCCCATCTCCCCCTGCTCCCCCACCTAAACCTCCCCCTTCTCCCCCATCCCCTCCCCCCAACCCTCCCCCATCTCCCCCCTCCCCTCCTCCTAAACCTCCCCCTTCTCCCCCATACCCTCCTCCTAACCCTCCCCCATCTCCCCCTTCTCCCCCGCCCAAGCCTCCCCCATCCCCCCCTTCTCCCCCACCCAAACCTCCCCCTTCTCCCCCATCCCCTCCCCCCAAGCCTCCCCCATCTCCCCCCTCCCCCCCACCCAAACCTCCCCCTTCTCCCCAATCCCCTCCCCCTAACCCTCCCCCATCTCCCCCTTCTCCCCCGCCCAAGCCTCCCCCATCTCCCCCTTCTCCCCCACCTAAACCTCCCCCTTCTCCCCCATCCCCTCCCCCCAACCCTCCGCCATCTCCCCCTTCTCCCCCACCCAAACCTCCCCCTTCTCCCCCATCCCCTCCCCCTAACCCTCCCCCATCTCCCCCTTCTCTCCCTCCCAAGCCTCCCCCGTCCCCCCCTTCTCCCCCACCCAAACCTCCCCCTTCTCCCCCATCCCCTCCCCCCAACCCTCCCCCATCTCCCCCCTCTCCCCCACCCAAACCTCCCCCTTCCCCCCCCATCCCCTCCTCCTAACCCTCCTCCATCTCCCCCTTCTCCCCCGCCCAAGCCTCCCCCATCTCCCCCATCTCCCCCTTCTCCCCCACCCAAACCTCCCCCATCTCCCCCATCCCCTCCCCCCAACCCTCCCCCATCTCCCCCTTCTCCCCCACCCAAACCTCCCCCTTCTCCTCCATCCCCTCCCCCCAATCCTCCCCAATCTCCTCCTTCTCCCCCACCCAAACCTCCCCCTTCGCCCCCATCCCCTCCCCCCAACCCACCCCCCAACCCTCCCCCATCCCCCCCACCCAAACCTCCCCCTTCTCCTCCATCCCCTCCCCCAAACCCTCCCCCCAACCCTCCCCCTTCTCCCCCACCGAAACCTCCCCCTTCCCCGCCTCCCTCCCCTCCCCCTTCCCCTCCCCCACGCCCCCCTCCCCGCCCTCCTCCCTCCCCTCCCCCTTCGCCTCCCCCACGCCCCCCGCCTCGTCCCCCTCCCTCCCCTCCCCCTTTCCCTCCCCCTTCTCCCCCACCCAAACCTCCCCCTTCCCCGCCTCCCCCATTTCCCCCTTCGCCTCCCCCACGCCCCCCTCCCCGCCCTCCTCCCTCCCCTCCCCCTTCCCCTCCCCCACGCCCTCCTCCCCGCCCTCCTCCCTCCCCTCCCCCTTCGCCTCCCCCACGCCCCCCGCCTCGTCCTCCTCCCTCCCCTCCTCCATTCCCTCCCCCCTCCCCGCCTCCTCGGCCTCCCCCCTCGCCTCCCCGTCCTCCCCCCTCCTTCTCCCCCCCCGCATCCACCACCGGCCCCACCACCACCGCCCATGATACCAATATTGGAGTGCTACAGGACAAGCCTCAACAATCAATGCAAATGTTTTTGCCCGTACTTCAATCAATGCTATTGCCTACAATAACGGTTCGTTACGCGTAAATTATAATATATCGCTTATATAATTTCTCGATGTTTAACCGGAAACAAGCTCACAGAATATTTTTTGCAAATCACTTCTCACAATTCAGTTGAGCTGTTCGCCTTATATCAAACGCACTAAATATACAAAGTTTACATTGATAAGGTGCTCAAGCAAATGGAGTTGCGAGTTAAACTAAAGGATGCGCTAACGTTTGCTGTGTGCTGATGCCTAAAACCACGATTCCCGTACCCTACAAATTCATTAACTTCGGTGCGCTACGGTCAGAGTAGACGCTAGTTGGAACGGGGATGGCTCGCCGACTGTAGCGGCTACACGATTTTTTTTTTTTTTTTTTTCCGCCCTTCAAAATTAGACGCGGCGCGTAAGTAGGCGTGTTAGGTGTACGTAATGGCAATGTCCGTACTCGCACGAGGCGCCTCGCTGGCGGCCGCGTCCCACGCCGCCTTTAGCGCGCGTCGCGGTGCTGCGACCGCATATTCCGCAAGGTTCCCCCCGCAGCCTTGTCTTCCGCCGTCTGCGCTTCCGCCAAGTTCTCTTGCGTCGCGTTCCGAGGCACACGCGCGACGCGCGCGATTAATTATCACCGCTGCCGCGGCGGCGGCGGACGGGCGAGAAGGGAGCACGTCGCCGCAGGACGCGGCGCGAGACGCAGCCGATTCGCCCCGCCGTGGGCGGCAAAGAAGGCGAACGAGGCTCGGTGGCGGTCCGGATGTAGGATCGCCTCAAATTTCGGATTTAGGTTCGCCAGAAAGTTCGGACTCAGGTTCGCCTCGAAGTTCGGATTCAGGATCGCCCCAAAGTTCGGATGGTAGCAGCGGTGGTAACCCTACTAGCAGAGGGGAATGGCAGGGAGGGATGGAGGCGAATGGCGGTGGGATTTTAGGCGGAGGGGAAAGCGGGGGGATGGGCGGAGAAAGAAGCGCGGGGATGCGCGGAGAGGGAAGCGCGGGAACGGGGGACAGCGGCGGCGGGCGGAGGCGGATCGGGGGAGGGGGCGCGGAGGGGATTAGCGCAGCGCGACAGCGGCGGCTGGAGAAGACGCGGGAGGCGCGCGTTCAGCGGAAGGAATCCGCGGAGGAGGAGTTTCAGCAGTGGGCGAGGTGAGGGGGGAATGGGGGGAAGGCGGTTGGAGTGGGGGAGAGGGGGAGGGGAGGGAGGGGGCGAAAGGAGGGACGGAGGAAAGTCAGTGTGCGGGGAAGATGCGGGAGATACAGTTGCAGCAGTGGCGGGAAAGTGCGGAGGCGGAGAGTGAAGGTGGAGGGAGTGAGGGTTTCGGGGTTGGGGTTTAAGAGCGGGACAGACAGCAACAAGTGCTTATATCGGTGCAGCAGAAAAGAATGTGTGTGAATGCTCCCATACCCGCACAACCAGTCCCTATCTTCTTCCTTTCCCCACACCCCCGTCCCTCCTTCCCCCCCACCCACCCCTGTCCCTCGTTCCACTTTCCTCATCCCCTCCCCAGCCAAGTGGCAGCGCAGGAACCCGAGCTGATGGAGATGCCATGCAGAACCACCTGCTCTTAACCCCCACCCACGCACACCGCACTGCACTCCCCACCTTTCCCCACCTTCTCATCCCCTTCACAGCCAAGTGGCAGCGCAGGAACCCGAGCTGATGGAGATGCCATGCGGAACCACCTGCTCTTAACCCCCACCCACTCACACCGCACTGCACTCCCCACCTTTCCCCACCTTCTCATCCCCTCCCCAGCCAAGTGGCAGCGCAGGAACCCAAGGTCATGGAGATGCCATGCGGAACCACCTGCTCTTAACCCTCACCCATGCACACTCACTCACACCGCACTGCACTCCTCTTTTGTTCGTTGCCAGCCAAGTGGCAGCGCAGGACCCCCAGTTGATGGAGATGGTCGGAGATGCCATATGCTGGTTGCACCACCCATTTTCTCCCTGACTACTGTCGTCGTTCCCCCCGCCCCCGTCCCTTCCCTGCCTCTCGTAGCCATGTGGCAGCGCAGGACCCTGAGCTGATGGAGGTGTTTGGAGATGCCATGCTGGATCCTCTGCACTTACCCTCCACCCACTCACACCGCACTGCACTCCACTCCTCTCCACTCCGCGCCACTCCACTCCCCAGTCCCCCCTTTTGTGCTTTGGCAGCCAAGTGGCAGCGCAGGGCCCCGAGCTGATGGAGATGGTCGGAGATGCCATGCTGGACCCTCTTCTTTTCCCCACCCTTCCCCCTTCCACCTTCCCCCTGTCCCCTTCCCCCACCTCCTCTCCCCTTTCCCCCCCCCCCCCAGCCAAGTGGCCACACAGGACCCCGAGCTGATGGAGATGCCATGCGGAACCACCACACCCACTCACACCGCACTGCACTCCCCTTTTGTGCGTTGCCAGCCAAGTGGCCGCACACAGGACCCCGAGCTGATGGAGATGTTTGGCGATGCCATGCTGGACCCTCCTCTTTTCCCCACCCTTCCCCCTTCCCCTTCCACCTTCCCCCTGTCCCCATCCCCCACCTCCTCTCCCCATCCCCCACCTCCTCTCCCCTCCCCCCCCCCCACAGCCAAGTGGCCGCACAGGACCCCGAGCTGATGGAGATGTTTGGAGATGCCATGCTGGACCCGCAGCAGATGCAGGAGAAGGTGAGGTGCGGTGAAGTGTGGTGGAGTGCGGTGGAGATGGGGATGGGGATGGGGTGGGTGGGGTTCGGTGAGGTGGGATGGGATTGAATGGGGTGTGCATTGCCATGCTGGACCCGAAGCAGATGTGGGAGAAGGTGAGGTGCAGTGGGATGGGGTGGAGTGTGGTGGGGTGGGTGGGACTGGGACATGGTGTGGTGGGGTGGGGTGGGGTGGGGTGTTTGGGTGTGCAGCCGAATCTTACAAGAATGTTGAGAGGTGCCATGCTGGATCCGAAGCAGATGCAGGACAAGGTGAGGAACAGTGGGGTGGCGTGTGGTGCTATGGAGTGGAATGGGGTGGTGCAGTGAAGGGTGAACACTGCTATTCAACCCCGAAGCTTAAACCCTTTACAGCTAAAACCCTAAACCGTGACCTTGGAACACTTCCTTTCGACCCTGAAATCCGACCCTTTGATCCTTAAACCCTCAATTCTGAGCTTACATCGCTTAATCCTTGATCCACAACTGTGAACACAAAAACCCCAAACCCTCTCCCCTCACCTCCTTTCCCCCCACTGCCAGATGGAGGAACGAATTCGCTCGAAGCAGGCGGAGCTGAGTGCTGAGCCAGCAGTATGGCTCCAAACCCCAAACTCCTCACCCCTCTCTCTTCCCCCCTCTCCCCCTACCGCCAGATGGAGGAACGAATTCGCTCGAAGCAGGCGGAGCTTCTGGCAGAGAAGCGGGGCAGTGGAGCCACGAGGAAGGTGGGGTGGTGCTGATGGTGCCGCCATCTCAACAAGTACCAGTCTTCCTTCCCTCCTCTCCTTCCCTCCCTCCCCTCCTCTCTCCCCCTACTGCCAGATGGAGGAACGCAATCGATCGAAGCAGGCAGAGCTGCTGGCGGAGAAGCACGGCAGTGGGACCACGATGCAGGTGGGATGGCGCTGATGGTGCCACCACCCCTCTACCCTCTCCCCATCACTCCTCTCGCCTCTCCCCCTACTGCCTGTCAGATGGAGGAGCGCATTCGATCGAAGCAGGCAGAGCTGCTGGCGGAGAAGCACGGCAGTGGGACCACGATGCAGGTGGGATGACGCTGATGGTGCCACCACCCCTCTACCCTCTCCCCATCACTCCTCTCGCCTCTCCCCCTACTGCCTGTCAGATGGAGGAGCGCATTCGATCGAAGCAGGCAGAGCTGCTGGCGGAGAAGCACGGCAGTGGGACCACGATGCAGGTGGGATGACGCTGATGGTGCCGCCACCCCTCTACCCTCTCCCCATCACTCCTCTCGCCTCTCCCCCTACTGCCTGTCAGATGGAGGAGCGCATTCGATCGAAGCAGGCAGAGCTGCTGGCGGAGAAGCACGGCAGTGGGACCACGATGCAGGTGGGATGACGCTGATGGTGCCGCCACCCCTCTACCCTCTCCCCATCACTCCTCTCGCCTCTCCCCCTACTGCCTGTCAGATGGAGGAGCGCATTCGATCGAAGCAGGCGGAGCTGCTGGCGGAGAAGCACGGCAGCGGAGCCACGAGGAAGGTGGGATGGCGCTGATGGTGCCACCACCCCTCTACCCTCTCCCCTCATTCCTCTCTCTCGTCTCCCCCTCTACCCCCCAGATGGAGGAGCGCATTCGATCGAAGCAGGCGGAGCTGCTGGCGGAGAAGCTCGGCAGCGGAGCCACGATGCAGGTGGCCATTAAAGAGTATGTACTGTACAGTATTGAAATAGCCATTGTAGAATTGACCCTTCCATTTGACCTGTATATCTGGTTTGAGAGCTGCCTAGATTTTCTTTCAAGGGGTAGTGTTTTTGCTGCCCAGAATACTGTTGCTTACTCCTTTTTACCTCTTGATATTGCCCCCTTGCCCCTATCCTATTTTTTAGATTTATCCAACTTACATAGCTGGTTGGTTCTAGCTGCAGCTGGTTGGTTCTAGCTGCAGCTGGTTGGTTCTAGCTGCACATAGTGTACTTCCTTTTTGCTTTTCGTACCTTGACCCCGCTCCTATCCCCTATCCCGTTATAGGATCGACCTGTTTGACATGCACATCTGGTTCGAGCTTCACATATAAACCTATCCTTCTTATCCTCCCTGTTATCCCTGTCCTCGTTATAGGATTGACCCATTTGACATGTACATCTGGTTCGAGCTTCACATATAAACCTATCCTTCTTATCCTCCCTGTTATCCCTGTCCTCGTTATAGGATTGACCCATTTGACATGTACATCTGGTTCGAGCTTCACATATAAACCTTCTCCTTCTTATCCTCCCTGTTATCCCTGTCCTCGTTATAGGATTGACCCATTTGACATGTACATCTGGTTCGAGCTTCACAAGACACCGTCAGAAGACGATATGAACACACTCGGCAGTGTGAGTGGGCTGATTTCAGGAAGGGTTTTTCAATCTCTACGCCCTTGCCTTTGTTCCACTGCTCGCCTTTTGAGGCGCCTAATAAACACCATCAGAAGACGAAATGAATGCACTCAACAGTGTGAGTGGACAGGTTTTCAGGAAGGATTTTTACTTCCTATGCGCTCGCTCGTTCCATTCCTCGCCTTCTTGTTCCTTTGTTCATCTGTCTGACTCTGTTTCTCTCACAACAACCCCTTCCCGTCTCCCCTGTCCCTTCACTCTTCCTTCCCCATCCATATCCCCCCCACCATGGCAGGTCATTCGAGCGTGGTACGTGGTGGGCAAGCTGGGAGGGTACAACTCCGCCAACCTGCAGGTACAGCCCTCTGTTCTGAGCAGCCGCTCATATCCCCACCACATCAGCCTCGTAGCCATGTGACTTTTGAGTCGACTCAAAAGTCACCTGTGTTCTCAGCAGCCGCTCATATCCTATCCCCACCATATCAGCCTCGTAGCCATGTGCTGCCACAACAGGCCGTGCACGCGAGGCGTGGGTGTGTGTAGTGTAGGCACCAAGCATGGCAGGCCGCAGGTCACCCTCTGCTCTGGTACGTGGTGGGCAAGCTGGGAGGGTACAACTCCGCCAACCTGCAGGTAGGAAGCAAGGGGTCTAGCAGTAGCGGGGGGTGTGTGTGTAGGCACCAAGCATGGCAGGCCGCAGGTCACCCTCTGCTCTGGTAGGCACCAGCTTTAGTCTCCAAGCATGGAAGGTCACCCTCTGCTCTGGTACGTGGTGGGCAAGCTGGGAGGGTACAACTCCGCCAACCTGCAGGTAGGAGGCTAGCTAGAAGGGCTTGCAGTGCTTGAAGGTACGTGATGGGCAGAGGGGCTTGCATTGCATTGTATCCCACCACGGCATGCCGTGCGAGGGAGGGGTGTTTGTGAGTAGGCGCCAAGCATGGCGGGTTATCCGAGCATGGTACGTGGTGGGCAGAGCAACCTGCAGGTACAAGTACGATGTGGGCGCGGCAGCGGTTTCCCTCTTTGTTGCTCTTGTGTGTGCCAAATTTCTCTCTTCACCCTCCTTTCATACTCCTTTCACCCTGCCACCTCCCACTTCATCTCACCCCCCAGCTAATGGAGGGAGACGAGTCATCCAAGTACAAAAACGATGTTGGCACAGCAGCATCTGCCCTCCCTGCTGCTGCTCTTGTGTACCCAAGTACCTTCCTCCTCCCTCTTTTCACCCTGCCATCACCCTTCTCATCCCACCCCAGCTAATGGAGGGAGACGAGTCGTCCAAGTACAAGTACGATGTGGGAACAGCAGCGTCTGCTTTACCTGCCTTGATGCACAACGTTGGGGACCTTGAGTTTCAAGACAACCTGGGGAGGATATGGTGAGGCTCACAGTGTGGTTACCATATGGTTACCACCTAGGGGGTGACTAGATATTCTTTTGAGCACAGCAGCATCTGCTCTCCCTGCGTTGATGCACAACGTTGGGGACCTTGAGTTTCAAGACAACCTGGGGAGGATATGGTAAGACACACAGTGTGGTTACCATATGGTTACCACCTAGGGGGTGACTAGATATTCTTTTGAGCACAGCAGCGTCTGCTTTACCTGCCTTGATGCACAACGTTG